TGTGTGTGTGTGTGTGTGTGTGTGTGTGTGTGTGTGTGTGTGTGTGTGTGTGTGTGTGTGAAGGTAGATGCACTGGTGTGTAGTGAAACTGAGAGGGAGAATACACCAAGGTGTACGAGGTACGCATTCCAATGGGCGGGTTATCAGAGACGGATCCATCCCACCTTCCCATGTTGGAATGCATCTGTTCTTTTTTCTCCATCTCTCTCTCTGTCTCTCCTTTACTTTCTCTGTCTCACTTAAGCTTAGGACGAGGACTGTTAAGGCTCGTTCATACGTGCAATATCCTGAAAAACGCTGCGTCGATAGGGAACGCATTCGTGCGAACCAGTTGCATTTTATACCAGCAACGTGCAGAAACGCGCAAGACGCGTTTTACATTTTTTTCTGCTATACAGTGGTTTCCCTTGTCGATGCATCGAGAGAAACTCTGAAACGTACGAATTTTTAGCCCACTTTTAAATCGCAATTAATATGAGAATATTTCATTTTTAAATTTGGTTGTATGTTAATGTTTATTATTGTCATACATTTCAGTTTCTGTGATTTATGTTTCAACATTTTATTATTTTGCAAAATTTCATTGATGTATCAACATATAATAGTATTATAAGTAGATGTAAATGTTGCAGTATTAAATTTTTTTTATTTTAATTATACAGACATATACATAAAAATATATTTAAGAAGATTAAAATATATAGATTAAATATAATAAAAGTAAACTTTTAAATATCATAGATATTTCATAGAATTATATAAGCAAAAAATGATTTTATTGAAATATATTTTATATTAATACTTCTGTATTATGAAGACAAATTTAAATGCGAAAGAGACAGAATAAATTTTCCGACCTTTGTTATTGCTTGAGTCATTTCGCTTCGAGGTCGAATATATCGATGCGGCGATGACGAAATAAATATCGAAGAGAAACTAAGCTAAATGCCTTCGCTGACTCTTGTCGATAGGAGAAATAGATAGTAAAGCTAGTCACACACACTTTCAGTAACAGTAAGATTTTCGACCAATCATGTTGCTCAATTCTTACTGTTACGGTTGTGATC